AAAATGGTTCGTCAGGAAGTGCATTATCAGGCTCGGATGGTACTTACTTCGATTCGAGATCGAAAATCTTTACACATGTAGCGGTGGCGGCGCAAAGCCAGTATCGGTTAGGTGAGAATACAAGAGCATGGACAGTGTTTCCAGCTTCAAGAGAGTAGAGGTGCTTTCCGTCATTCAAATCCCATAGCATGGTGATGCCATCCTTTCCACCTGAGGCTGCCAAAGAACCGTCGGGTGAAACGGCAACTGTGTTGATATAACCAGTATGTCCATAGTGATTGGTACGGAGTTTGCATTTGGAGAGTTCCCAGACCTGATCGAAGGTGGTCAATTCGCGAGATACGATTTCTGGGTAGAACCACTGACCTTTACAACCTTGTCCCAACCCGCCGAGACGATGACAGGATTCATCGCGTTTGGACTGAATCGTACACAAGACACCCTGTAGTTGCGGGACTGAGCATACCTGATCCACTGCCAGACAAAGTCTTACCATTCAGTGTGACCTTCCTCCTTGATATCATACTTGCATTCACCCAAAGTGTTCCATAGCTTGATGGTCCTGTCCCTGCTACCGCTAACAATTTGCCTATTGTCTGCCGAGAAGGATACAGATAGAACGTATGAGGTGTGTCCAACAAAACGACGGGTAGTGTTGCCAGTATTCAAATCCCAGAGTCTGAGAGTATGATCCCAAGAGGAAGACAGAGCATACATTCCATCGGAGGAGATAGCGACATCCGAAACAAAGTGGTTGTGGCCATGAAGAATTCGCTTGGGAGTGCCGTAGCTCTGCTCATCGCGAGCAAGTGACCACACGATAAGTGTTTTGTCTATGGGTTTGGAAAGTTTGTAAACAACAAATTACAAGGCTTCGTGGACAAACCTCGTGATGCTGTTAGCAGCATGTCTGGATTTTCAGAGGAAGAGGCAACAGCTGTGACCCATCCCTTGTGGCCTGTCAAGGTTCCCGAGAAGCGCAATTGCTCAGACATATTTTAGATTTTAGTTGGGAGGGAAATGGTGGGTGAAAGAGGAGTTGTAAGTCAGGCGGCGACTTCGTTTGTTTGGATGAGCCACACAAAGTTTATTTCTACCAAGCAGACATTTTGCTAAACACGACAAATACTACTCTCAAGCACGATGTTTCTGATAGTAATGGATTAATCCGGTAGTCTGAAGGGAATATTCAGCTCGTCAATCGGCTTGGAAAATGGTGAAACCTACAGAACTATCATGACCGGTCACGTTTTCTGGTTTATCTAATTGCGCCAAAATCTTCTTCGCGAGAACCTTGCCAAGTTCGACACCCATTTGGTCTGCCAGTAAAATTAGACGATGGAATATCACCTATAAGATCTCCCTTACCAAAGGAGTTGATCCCCCACACCATTCCTTGGACGAAAATCTTGTGTTCGTACAGGGCAACTAATGCACCGAGCGTCGACGGTGTCATCTTGGGGAACATGATGGAACTACTTGGCCTATTGCCTTCGAACACTTTGGACTTCACGAGTGCTTCAGAAGCATTCGGGCCCAGCTCCTAAGGGGGTGTCAGTAAGGACTGTCAAGAAGAAGCAGTATCACTTTCCTTCTTGACCTCCTCCTCCGTCTTACCAAATGCAAGTGCCTCTGGTTGAGCGAAGAAATTCGAAAGAAGGATACGGTGATGCTTGTCACCTCCCACCGCATTGAGCGAATTGGCAGGAGCCAGGAAATCCGCTGGGATCAGCTTGGTTCCTTGGTGGACTAGTTGATAGAATGAGTGTTGTCCATTGGTCCCAGCTGCACCCCATATGATAGGCTAGGAGGATTATCAGCGAGAAAATCAAGAGGAAATGACCCAACAAACCCCAGTCTGGTAGTTCACGCGGTTCCCGTCCTTCGTTACAAATTTACCATTCGACTCCATGTCTCCTTGCTGGAAGTAGTCCGCAAACTTGTGAAGGTATTGATCATATGGCAAAAGGACATGCGTTTGTGAGCCTTTGACCAGTGAGTAAATCTCCGTGTTCGACAATTGAAGCACTAACCATAAAAGTCACCATACCAGATTCCAAGGACAGCCATCAGCACCGGAAGGTTATCCTCCAATCGAGCACTCTTGAAGTGTTTATCCATCTCATGAGCGCCCTCCAAGAGTGCTTTAAAGTTGTCAAACCCAATCACGAGGGCAATCGAGAGACCGATGGCGGACCACAAGGAGTAGCGACCGCCAACCCAGTCCCAGAATTGGAACATGTTCTCTTCAGCGATACCAAACGCCGTGACTGCCTTGGTGTTCGTACTGAGAGCAACAAAGTGTTTGGCTACGTGGGCAGTATCACCAGCAGACTTTAGGAACCATTCCTTTGCCGTCTCCGCATTGGTGATTGTTTCTTGTGTTGTGAATGTCTTGGACGCAATGATGAATATAGTTGTCTCTGGGTCGCATTCCCTCAATGTTTCTGCTATGTGAGTGCCATCGATATTTGAAACAAAGAACGCCTTGAGATCCCGCTTGGAATAGTACTTGAGTGCTTCTGTAACCATGACTGGTCCGAGATCTGAGCCACCGATACCGATGTTGACAATTGTATTGATCGGTTTGCCGGTGTAGCCTTTCCACTCGCCACTCCTAACGCTTTCGGAGAAAGATCGCATATGTTCAAGTACGGGTCCAACTTCGTCAACTCCTGACTCGGAAATTGAAAAGGCGCCATCCACATTTCGAAGAGCGACATGGAGGACAGCACGATCCTCAGAAGTATTGATATGCTCGCCCTTGAACATGGCATCTCTTGCTCCTTCTACACCGGCCTCTTTGACGAGATCGATCAGTGTAGCCAAAACCTCCTCATCTATGAGGTGTTTGGAGAAGTCTAGAAAGAGTGACGCATTCGGTCCCTTGTATTCTCTGCTGAATTTTTGGAAACGCTGAGGATCTGCAGCAAAGAGATCCCTCAGGACGAGAGATTTATGCTTAGAGTCGTATAAACCCTGAAGTTTGTTCCATGCTGCGTAATCTAGTGCTCATGGTCAGAAAATGTGAGGTGCTAGTGATCACGAAGGTCAACTTGCTGGATGCTAGAGTTCCTGGCATGATCGGGGGTTCAAGAGTATTGTTTTATATTCAGGAAGAGTAATCGTGAAGAGCGAGGAGATGTCGAAAGTCAAGCTGAGATCACCCATTACGCCCCAAGTTTTTTATCTCGCTCACTCCGGGACGGACGGATCGCCCATGCCCGCTCAGGACGGCAGAAATTCAGCGAACGCTCCACCTGAAGCTTCAACTACGACAATCACATTCTTTCGATTCCCCGAGAAGCAAAGTATTATACATATGCTGCCGCTGCAGCCATTTCATCCTGCCACATTGCCATCTCAGCCTCGTCCTGCGGTCCCCAGCCTCCACCAGCTCCTCCACCCGTATCACGCTCCTTAAGAGCCTTTTGTAAAAATTCTTTGCTCCTTCCAACTGCCTGATCAATAAGTGCGAGTTTCCGACATTCATATTGGGCGGTGGCAAGAGCTTTCTCAATATCCTCTGGTCGGAATTGAGGCTTCTCATCAATAAAACTCAGGGTATCGCCTTCCAGATTGGCGGTTATATCTCCCGTTTGGATCTAGTTCACGGATGAGATGTAACTTGTACATTTGCCAGTCGAAGCTTACCATATTCTGAACCAATGCACGAAGCTCTGCTGGATCCGCTATTCCAATTTCTTTGCCTATCTCCGATAACGATAGCGTCAGGTACGTCTTCGTCAATGTCTTCAACTTCCACCGTGGCGCAGTCGCAAGAACCTCCCTGACCAGTCCCAAATTATAGTCTTGTAGGAAGGTCTTTTGTTCCTTCTCTGCGAGTTGGAGAAGTGGACCAGCGGGATAGATCTTTGCTAGTTGACCATATGGCGATTGCTTGACGTTCTTGGTGAATAGTGCCGGAACGTACTTGGGCATATTCTTCAATGTACCATAGCTGATCAATTGAACCAAGGAGAGCTTTTTCATCGCCTCCATCTGGATTGCCGAGGGTGAGTTCGACGCGATAGGAGCAGACACGACCATCTCGAGGAACTCTTCTGCCTCTGTCCATCTTCTGAGGGAAAGGAAGATGAATGCCCCTAGATAATGATAGAGTAGATTGTCGACGTAGTTGATGGGGTAGAGGCTCTTGTCGATCTGGCCCATAGGTACGTTGAGCACCGGGAGAGCCACTTCATATTGACGAAGTTTCACACACGCGTGTAGAAACATTGGGTGAATCGCGGTGAAAATATCGGG